GTAAACAACCATGCAAACCCGCTTGATAACCTCGATGTCATTTATCATTTCACATTGATGTGTCGATTAACCACACACGCTCCATTAACAAGGATAATTTTTGATATCCCCATCATGTTTCTTTGTAGTCATTGTTAGTGTGTCGATTAACCACACACACTCCACTAACGACATATACAACATGATGTGTGTTTTCATGGATTAACATACTTTTCACATTTTCCTAAAGTAACTAGAGTGAGATTTTATTAAAGGTTTAGTTACTTTTTATCATTATACGCATTAATAAGATTATGTCCTATCAAATTCGTTCGGCTAGTGACCCTCCACCATGCAAGCGAGAGGTGAGTGAGAGTGGACACTCAATAGCTGTCATTTTATAGGCCACTTCTTTAAACTATCCTTATATTATGGGTTTTCGTGAATAAGGCGTACTAGCAATTTAACTGACTATTCTTATATATATATACATATATATATATATATATATATATATATATATATATATATATATATATATATATATATATTAAACCTCTAATAATATAAGTATAGGGTGTATTTTAAAACATTTTAAAAAACACAAGGTTTAAATATTAATTATCCAAATTAAACAATTAATTAATTAATCTTTAAACCAAATATAATTATAATATTAATCTTTTAATTAACAAAATAATCAAATGTAATTAATCATATGGATATTTCACAAAATTCAAGATATAGGATATCTGATTACCAAGATAAATATTCAGTTTTATACAATTAAAAAATATTATCCAAAGTAATTATCCTAATCAATTTGAATTAAGCAAAAAACAATTCATTGATCAGTGGGTTCACGATGACGTGACAATCAATGTCACGTTGTGGCAAAACGAAGAAAAATATGGATCTGAAGATCCCTACGTCGTAGTAGAAAGGACCATGACATGGTACCGTGACAGAATGTCGATTCTGCCAAATCCCAAGTAGGGTTTGTTAAAGTTCAAGCAATGTAATATCAATCTTTAGACAACCATACACTCTGATACCACTGATGGACTTTGTAACACTTGGTCTAGGTAATATTTATTTCTCCATATTTTAGGGTTTTGGACTGGAACTCGACGAGTTGGGGAGCTCCAACTCGTCTTGTAGAAATTCATTTGGACGCGGACTAAGGACTCTACTCGACAAGTTGGGGAGCCCCATCTCGACGAGTAGACTATGGAAAGGAAAACCCTAATTTTCAGGGTTTGTACCATATTTAAAGGCCTTAAACCTCTTTGTTAGCCTCCCTCATCACCCCTTTGTCTATAGAAACCCTAGTTCGTGCTTTTCCTATCATTTTAAGTGTGTGAGAGCTTAAAGTGTGCATTTTGGTAGTTATTTGAAGAAGGCTTGAAGTAAGAGGTGCATACCTGAAGGGAGAGGTTGTAGATCCGATGTCTTTGCTGTTGTGGCATCCATATTGAGGTAAAAAGTTGATACTTTGGTCACTTATTTAATAGATTTCTTCATGTGGGAGTTTATGGTCATTATTAGCCCCATTTGGGACCATTCTTGGATTTAAGCATGTCATAAAGCTATGACATCAAATCTTGACATCTCATGGCCTCTTTTGACATAAAGTTGCCATCTTTATCAAGTCATGGCCTTATTTCATGCCCTAAACCCCTTAAGAGGCTATGATTGAGTGTTTTAGCCCCTTAATGTCGTGCATGGACATAAAGTTAGCAACTTTATGTGGTATTTTCATCATAGGGGATCAGATCTATGGTTTCGGGCTTTGGACTCGCTGGAAAAGTGGCTGAATGTGTTAAGACTAGGAAAACTCGACAAGTTACATTGCCATCTCAGCGAGTTAACTCGGGTTTCCCCGATCCTCTAGAGATAATGTGAACTCGACGAGTGGTCCTATCAACTCGGCGAGTTGGCTAGGGTTTTCCTTGGTTTTTCTAAGAACTGAAGGAACTCGATGAGTCATCAAGTGCACTTGACGTGTTGGGGTCAACATGGATTGTTGACTTTGACTGTTGATTTTGACTTGGACCAGGGCTAACCAAGTTTGACTTTAAGTGTATCTTTGTTAATTAGGGGTTTTGTTGAAATTAGTTGCAGGGTGGTTGTAGGCGGTTGAGTTCGAAGTTATGAGTTGGGATTTGATTTTTACTGGTTCAGCATATCTTGAGAGGCGAGTCTTCTCACCATACCAATGGGTCAAAGGCACCAAGGCCGGTTTATTATGTGATATGTGGAGTGTTAGTTGGTTACGTGTTATGTTGGTATGACATTTGCATGGAAGACCCCAGGGGGTTCCCATGGCGGTAGATTAAGACCATGTGGGGGTTCCCATGACATTTAATGCAAGACCTTGGAGGGTTTCCATGGCATCCTAATATGTTTATATGTTTAGCTTGCATGATATTTCTTTGGTTAGCTAAGACCATGTGGGGGTTCACATGGCAGTTAGTGAAGACCATGTGGGGTTCCCATGGCAGGTAGTTAAGACCATGTGGGGGTTCCCATGGCAACGGGTTAAGAACACGTGGGGGTTCCAATAGCACCTGGTGTAAGACCTTGGAGGGTTTTCATGGCATCCTTATATGTATGTATGCATGGCTTATTTGGTATATGTAGTTAATATAACTAATTTGGTTTATGTGATAATGTGGATTGTGTGGGGTATGTTATGGGGAACTCACTAAGCATTATCTTACAATTTGTTGGTTGTTTCAGCTACATCAGGATCAAAGGGCAGAGTCTGGCGTGATGGCGCGACATGCACTCTCTGGCGTTTCATTTGGGACACTCTAATTTTATGAATAATATATATGATGTTATGGATCTTGAAAACAATTGTGATTGGAATTTTATAATTTATGGAAATGAATTTGCTATTTTAAAATGAAAAAAATTTGATTGAAAATTTGGGTTGTTACAGCTTTTACATGTAATAAAGCGGAATAATCCTTATACTCTCAAGGGTACATGCAGCTTATTAGATATAAGTCATAACACTATTGAAGTAACATTTTATTGAACAACAAGAACCTTATAAACCCTAGCTATTTTTTTAAAATCTTAAACAAGTTAGGGATTGCATACTTTTTGATTATTCTTGTAGATAATAAATGAATTCATTATTCAATTGCTCTTGGAAGCAAGCACCAGAAATCCCGTGTCTCTGATGGTCAACAACCAAACCCTAGCAATTAAGGAAACTTGAAGAGAGATGATGAGAGGGAAGATTTTCGGCTATAAACTTGGTAAAAAGTGTGGCCAAAATATGAAGCTAAGGAACCCAATTTATAGTGATGGGTTTTGAGCATATCTGCATTTCTATGTGCACATGCAACCCTAATTGTTTTATATCTAGTTTTTTTCTCAAGTAATACATGCAAATTAATTTGCCAAAGCATGAACCCTAATCTAACATACAAGAAAACGAGATCTACATAATATTAGGGTTAGAAGAATACATTTCTTGTTAATAACTTGATATTGACCTTTAAGAGCTTAGTACCCCAAGCGTTGTACCTCTAATGGAGTCACAAACACCACTTAACAAAGGATGAATAAGAGAGGTGATGGAGGCTCCACAAAATTCGGCTAGGGTTCTCTTAGAATAACATAGGGTTGAAAACTGTAAGCTAAGGCTCCTTTATTAGGAAATAAGATAAATCATTTATCAATCTGATTTCGTAATTATTCATGTTATATATATATGAGAAAAGTGAATATACCCTTAAGGTTATATAAGCTTAGGTACCCAAACTCACAATACTATGTTGAAGTTTAATAACATTATAATGAATATATCAAACAAAACAACTAATTATAGTGAGTTTGGGTACCTAAGCTTATATACCCTTAAGGGTATATTTACTTTTCCAATATATATATATATATATATATATATATATATATATATATATATATATATATGTGTGTGTGTGTGTGTGTGTGTGTGTGTGTATGTGTGAAATATTCCATAAACCTTTAATTTGCTCCATAAAACCGTCCATCATTCAAGAAGCTTTTAGAATGCTTTTTGTTCAACTTTTGAACAATTACAACTTAGGTCCTTGTACTTTTAATTAATCCAAATAATCTCGACATTAATTCTAATTAATTTCTGATTAATTTTTAATTAAATAATACTATTTCTAATTAATATATTATTCTCACAATATATTAATAAATTATTTATTACTATATATTAATCATATAATAAATCAATAAATCAATGTCTCTCTCTATCTCTAAAAATCATCTTATCCAATTATCATGTTTGGGGGCAATCCAAAAAAAACTTTGCTAAAAGTTTAAATATATATCAATTTAGTTATTGATTTAAACATCTAATCTAACACTTTATTCAACACCTCTAACGGGTCATTCTTTTGGACTAAGTGATTTCAATTGCATCAAGTGTTACTTCAACCCTCAAATAGAACATGTTGTTTTCACAAACGAATGTGAATATCACGATGAAACCTCCAAACTTCAAGTCTAGTTTGATTAATATGATAACTTTGATAAGTAGCATATGTTAGACATTCCGCTATACGTATCGCGAACAACGGAACCATGAGACCATCACCAGCCACGAACCATTGTTGGTTTACCCTAGACGACCACGCAAAAGAGAGAGAAGAAGAAAAAAAAGAAGAAGAATGTTGTCCTGAGAAAAAAAAAGATCGTTGTCCTGTGTGCTACCCACTAAAAATCAACATGAACACACTGAACCACCAATGGTTGGTGTAGTGTGCACGGACTTTTTCCATGACCACATAGACCATGAGACGGTTCTTATAGTTTATACGGGATAGCCTCGGCAACCAAAAAAAAAAAAAAAAAACTCGTTGTCAAATAAAAAATGACGTGGGCAACCTTTCCGTCCGCTGCGTAACCCTGACGCCTCTCCAGCGTTTCCCATATAAACCCTTTGCCCGCCCTCGATTTTCGCCCTAACAGACGCTCTCAGGTCTCGGCATCTTCGATCCTCAACTACAATGGCTATCAATGATCCCGAACACAGAGAGGAGGAGGAAGCCGCCACCGAAGACGAAGACACCGGAGCGCAGGTTGCTCCCATCGTCAGGCTTGAAGCAGTCGAGGTCATTAACGGTGAAGAAAACGAGGATGCAATACTCGATCTGTGAGTATTCGATCTCGATCCGAGTTTACACGTTTGTATGGTTTATTCTATATTATAACTTTATATTTCACGATTTCAGTAAGTCGAAGTTGTATAGATTCGACAAGGACGGGAATCAGTGGAAAGAACGAGGCGCCGGAACCGTTAAGCTTCTAAAGCATAAAGAAACTGGAAAAGTTCGTCTTGTTATGCGTCAATCAAAAACCCTAAAGATCTGCGCCAATCATCTCGGTATGTATAAATTACAATTGTCGTTTCCATATGTCGATTTTCATATGCTTATTATGCAATGTGATATTATTGCTGTAGTTCTACCGACGACATCGGTTCAAGAACACGCTGGCAATGACAAGTCATGCGTGTGGCATGCTGCCGACTTTTCTGATGGTGAACTTAAAGACGAACTTTTCTGTATTAGATTCGGATCAGTTGATAGTAAGTTGAAGTTTAATTTCTGTCAAATGTGTTTAATTTGGATCTTTTTCTCTGTCAATGTAATTATGTGCTGTTATTTTCTTTGATTTCAGATTGCAAAAAGTTCATGGAAACAGTTGAAGAAGTGGCAGAGTCACAGCAGCCGGAGAAGGAGGAGGAGGAGAACAAAGATGCCTCAAGTGCTGCTGGACTGCTGGAGAATTTGACTGTTAAAGATAAAACAGAAGAAGAAGGAAAAGAAGTCAAAAAGGCATCTGCTGATGCACCAAAGAAGGAGGAGAAAGAGCCTGAAAAGGCAGCAGAGTCAGAGGAGAAGAAGAAGGAAGAAGCTTCCCCTGCTTCCTCAACTTAAAATGTAGCCTTATGAGGTTAAGTATTCCTTCTTGATCACGTGTCCAGACTACGAGAACTTTGATGGGTGGTTTTATATTTGAATTAGGTCTATTGGGGTTTTGGTGAAAACATTTGGTTTTGATTTTGTCATCATATTGCATGGTTTGTTTTGTGTCGTTGAAATAGTATGGTTTTGGTGGGTTTTTACGGATGGTATTATTAGTGTACATCTGTTTGAGGGATATGCTTGTGATATTGCATGAGTTTGTGATTTAAGTGTCGTATAAAAACATTTATCATTTGTTACCTTGATTTAAAACTTTTCAATTTTGATATCTTTAATCATTGTGTGTGTCAAAGTGGTTAATATCCCAGTTGTAGTTTGCTTGAATGGCTTGTCAATTGTTTGTCCATGGTTTGTTGCATTGTATTGTAAAATTTAAGGGAAATTGAGTAATGTAACTAATATAAATGTCAATTTTGACAAAAATAACCATTTTTTTGTTTTGTTACTTGACCGCATTGCCCGGAATTATACATTCCAGAGTTTTTGGAATTGCATAATGCCATTCCGAAGTATTTTTGTATTTTTTGTGGAAGTTTAAATTAGTAGTTGGTTAAGCAGTTGTTAACTTTTAGTTTTGAAAAAAAAACTGTTATAAATATAGAATTGCATGGAAATACTTAAATCTATTGTAAAAAATAATAACTACATAAACTTCAATATGTTTAAATAATAATATAAATGGATCTTTTTTTTAGAATGAGTTAGTATATGTTTGAGTTTCAGTTCCCATTGTTAGAAACCCTGTTAGCTAAGTGGACTAGTTCCAACTTGTATTTTTTTTCCCACCACATACAATTTTCACAAATCACCTTCGATATGATTTGATTCAGGTTTCGGTGCAACCCTCTATCCTCAAAGATTTGCCACCAATCAACTGATCAAGCTTTCTAGAAAGTAACACAAGAACACTCCACAATCTTTTTATCGTGAGATTGTTGTGCTACGTCTTGCCTTTTAAAAGGGGTGTGTAAACTCTCAATGGAGATAACATCAAAGAGTTTGATACCACAATAGTTGATACCCACTAATAGTTTGTGGATAGGGGCTTCACATAACTATAAAACAAGATTTAGATTAAAAAAAATGATTGTCGTCCAAGAAACTATCATATATCGTAAATGTGAAGTTTGGAAATCCAGAATTCCTAAAGACCGGTGGCCCCAAGGTTAATAGGGATGTATATTAATTCTTTTTTCTTTGTATTACATATAATTTTCGCAAATCACCTTTGATATGACTTGATTTAGATTTGGGTGTAACCCTCTATGCTCAAAGATTTTCCAGTGATCAACTGATAAGCTCTCTAGAAAGTAACACAAGAATAGGGGTGCAAACGAGCCAAGCTACTCGTGAGTTATTCGGGATCGGATCATTAAAAACTCGACTCGAAATCGGTTTTAAACGAGCCCAAGTCGAGCTCGAGCTTAAAATTAAGCTCGTTTATTAAACGAGCTCGAGCTCGAGCCTATGTCATTAAGCTTGATTAGGCTCGCGAGCCTAAACGAGCCTTTACATAATATAATTTATTATTATTTATATATATTAATATAAAAATATATTAGAGGAATTACGGATTTAGGGTATTAGTGAACGAGCTTCTTAACGAGTTCGAGCTGAGCTTAATCTTATTTAGGCACGTCAGATAAAAACGAGTCGAGCCCGAGCCCGAGTCGAGCTTGGATAATTCGTTACGAGCTCGAACCGAGCTCAGTACAAGAAAGCTCGAATCGAGCTGAGCTCGAGCTCGAGCCTCATATAACTTAAACGAGCCCGAGCCGAACCTGGCTCGGCTCGGGCTCGACTCGTTTGCACCCCTACACAAGAACACTTCACAATCTCTTTATCATGAGATTGTTGTGGTATGTTTGTGCCATTTACAAAGGGGGTGTAAACTCTCAATGGAGATTACAACAATGAGTTTGATACTATAATAGTTTATACCCACTAGCAGTTTGTGGATAAGGGCTCACATAATTATAAAGCACGATGTAGATTCAAAAAAATAGTCGTCGTCCAAAAAACTATCATATATAGTAAATGTGAAGTTTGGAAATCCAAAACTCCCAAAGACATAAAGGTTGGAATTAGCTAATCAATAGATAGCATTTTCTTATAAGTGATTGTTACTTGGGTAATATAATCGAAATACATTTATATCGTATCACACTTAGACCAAGCTGGGTAATGGATCCATCAACCATGTCACTCTAATCATATATATGTGTGTTGAAAGCTATCAATATCAATGTCCGTCGAGCATCAACCACCTTCGCTCTATCGACAATAAAATCCAGTGCATGATATGATGCCAATCAACACATCACACATGTATACAATGAAGTAAGTAACCTAACTGAATGTTTAATGTGTAATGATCATACATGTATATAACCCACATCACATTCCAACCAACCCAAAATCAATGTCCTAATATATGCGCATCTAAAACTCCATTGTCGTTATACACGTGAGAAAATGGTGAACAAACAATAACGAAACCTTCTAGTTTTCTTGATCTAGTTTTTATGCACATTTCTTCATGTTTATATTGATTTGAGTGGATAGATCCAATAAAGCTACCAACTTTATTGATCCTTGAGGTCCCCAGAAGGTTAAATGCTCCAGATCTAAAGTGTTATGTAGTTTTGAGCTTATGCATTGGGGTTTTGATCCCATTCCTTTCATTTTGACTTACGTTGAGTAAAAGACATGCATTAAACATGCATGTCCTCAAAGCAAGGATTTTTATGATACATATGAGTGTAAGGAAGCTTTCTGGAAGGTATGAATATGGGTCTTAATGGATTAAGGGATTAATCAAATAAGTTGATTCTGATGAGATACAATGACATGGTGACATGCTCGCCACGACGTGGTGGTGGAATTAGTCACGACTTTTTTGTCGTGGAGTAGCCACGACGTGACCAGTAGTTGGCTACGGTGTGGTGATCTACTAAGTTTACTTTGACATTGAACGTTGACTTTTAACCAATTTGAGTTGTAGTCAGACTTTGACAGGTTTGAAGTGGTAGCATGAGGTTTGGTTTGTAAATGGTTAGGAGGTTCGTATAGCTGATTAAATGCGACTTTCAAGTACAGGATTCCAACTACTTGATCATGTGAGTTTTATCACTATACTATGTAGGATACTAGGTGTCGTGATATGCTAGATTGTCTATGTGACTTTTGCATGAAAGACTGGTGTGGGATCACAACACCTGTATGAAAGAGTGTGATGGGATCACTACACTTGCATGGAAGACCATGGCGGGAAATACTGCAATGAGGGTGTAGCAACAAAAGTGACTGTAAGACTATGGTGAGATCATAACATTCACATGGGTTGAAACATACTCATAGGACGAGACCTACTGTTATGTATGGTATATAGTATTTTGAGGAACTCACTAAGCTTTGTGCTTATGATTTGTGTTTAAATGTTTCAACTACTTCTAATAGCAAGGGAAAGGAGTCAGCTTGATTGCATAGTATCTACCGATGATATCCGTACTACATGATTGTGGGATTTACTCTGATATTTTTATAAAAACAATATACCCATGTTTTGGATTACTTGACTTGTGATGTTTATGGATGAGTTCTATTACTTAAAACTTGAAAAGTTTTTTTTTGGTATTTTTGGGATGTTTCACACTTATATCGCAAGTCCGTCATCCGACTACTTTATAGTTTTAATAGTTTCATCCTATAAAAAGAAAAGATTAAATATAATTAAGTTTTTAACAATACAACAACGTATAATAGAACATATGTAATTATTTATGTACCTTAAACCTATGTGTCCAAAAGTCATCATCCTGTAAAGGACTACGATCCTCTGTGATAAATTGCTCAAAGGGGGTAACCTTGTCACCATATAATCATTTGACGAATCTATACTATTAAAATTTTAATGATTCAATAATGAATATACCATAAAATTAAATAACAATGTGCGAGAGTTAATTAACAATGTACCTCGAACCCTTGTGAGGTGTCCTCATCCTGTCTGACCCTTATTACTAGGAAGTATGTGTATGCCTACCACAACATCGTGTTGTATAGTAAACATATAATGTGCCACCAACAACCATCGACATTCTTAAAGCTCCTTTTGCAAATTCATAACGAGTTGGTCCTTATCTATTGTTGATCTAGTTTGTGGTGGTAGGTCGGATGCATACGAACCTTTGTTAGTATCGTGTTGTACCTATTTTTGGAGGCTCATAATTAGGTGACATGTGAGGTGATGGTGTGAGAGATGGTTCCCTTTGAACGTAGGTAGTAGGTAAAGCATCGAGATCAATCCATGCAGAGCCAAAAGACCACCATGTCGCATGACTCTCATCTGTTGTCGACTGCAACTTTTCTATAAGCTTATTATCCTCCTAACATAATTGTATGTTAATTGTTAACATCATTAGACATAGGGGAAAATGAGAAATTTATATAAATAGTCATCCTTGCTCGACATCAAGAAACGTGTCGCATTGATGTTTTTGCAATTTCCCAAGCCCGTACTATTTAATAGCTTCAGGGATCACATTCAATTGGTGCGCACCAAACAAAATGTTGGCTGGAAAACTCTATAAAGTCCATATCTAAAAGAATCATATATCAGGATATCAGCAAATAGAAAACATTAAAATGATAATCATGTATTTTACCTTAAAAACGTATGAAACCCCGCCAAGGCTGTACATTATTTTTTAGGGTTTTTTTCTTTGACATGATGAATAAACCTATAAAGCTTATTGGATACCATCTCTAGTTGAATGTACAAGCAATCCTAAATTATCCCCCAATTACATGATACATGTTGAATCATCAAAGTTGGATATCAAACCCAAATACTTCTTCTTCACAGATTGGCGAGCTAACCGGTCATTGAACCCCTTCTCCAACAAATATAATAGATACATACGAACCTTTGTTAGTATCGCGTTGTACCTATTTTTGGAGGCTCATAATTAGGTGACATGTGAGGTGATGGTGTGAGAGATGGTTCCCTTTGAACGTAGGTAGTAAGTAAAGCATCAAGATCAATCCATGCAGAGCTAAAAGACCACCATGTCGCATGACTCTCATCTGTTGTCGACTGCAACTTTTCTATAAGCTTATTATCCTCCTAACATAATTGTATGTTAATTATTAACATCATTATACGTAGAGGAAAATGAGAAATTTATATAAATAATCATCCCCGCTCGACATCAAGAAACGTGTCGCATTGATGTTTTTGCAATTTCCCAAGCCCGAACTATTTAATAGCTTCAGGGATCACATTCAGTTGGTGTGCACCAAACAAAATGTTGGCTGGAAAACTCTATAAAGTCCATATCTAAAAGAATCATATATCAGGATACTAGCAAATAAAAAACGTTAAAATGATAATCATGTATTTTACCTTAAGAACGTATGAAACCCCACCGATGTTGTACATTATTTTTTAGGGTTTTTTTCTTTGACATGATGAATAAGCCTATAAAGCTTATTGAATACCATCTCTAGTTGAGTGTACAATCGATCCTAAATTATCCCCCAACTACATGATGCATGTTGAATCATCAAAGTTGGATATCAAACCCACATACTTCTTCTTCACAGAATGGTGAGCTAACCGGTCATTGAACCCATTCTCCAACAAATATAATAGATACATACGGACTGCATCCTCGTCCAATTACTCATGAAGAGATGTTTTAATACATTAAAAACATGTTGCAATTTTACAGATTCAATTGTCTTGACCATAGGAAACACACGTAATCAGAAAGTGTAACGATAATCCAAGGCAGGCAAATGTTAACCAAATTGGAAGCCCGTCACAAATCATAATTCCCTCTTCCCAAACGTCAACTATGACTCCTCGATTTCAAAAAACTAATTCTTGTACTTGGCTTCAAGGGCTTGTCACAACCTTTTTGCTGAATACGTAATGTAAAAGCAAATGATCCCTTCTATTCCTACATGAATATCTAACCATCTACCAAAACACATCGCATGACAGTCGGTTCATGAGTTTAGCAATAATATCTACAACAATTCCAGGTTTGCACGACATCATAAGAGAATGATTAAAAAAAAAAAAAAACGTTCTGATATCAACATCGAGCTTGTTCCTAAAATTTTGGAACCATCTTAAGTGGTTCTAGTTTCGATTCTCATTATCTTGGAACTGCTACTCGTTGAGTAACCGTCAGTTCCGGTACCTTTACTTGGTCT